ATGCTGCTTGTGTAGAAATTTAACCCAAATCTGCATAATCGTTCTAAAACACTTGGGTCAAGCAAAGAAGCATTGCACAGCTATAAAAAATAAGAAGTCTTGCACACACATAAAAAAACACTTGAAAGAAATGAAGTATTCATGGTTGTGGGGACACAGGAATATAAAGCCAGCCAGCCTGTGCCTTATTGTCACACAGAATAAAAGAGGGAAGACTGCTTCTTTTGCCAGGAAAATGATGGCTGAAGTATTCCTGAACTGATCTTTTAATTCTGTTTGTTTTTTTCTTAAGTACTCACTAGTTCTTTTTCACTTCCTTAGGTGTTTTATGTCTTCATACAGAAAGAATATTTCAAGTGACTTTCATTTGCAGGGCTCTCTCTTTGTGCTCACAGAACTTGATACGTCAGGGACAAGCGAGAAATAAAAAAATAATCCGGAACAGTAATGAGCTCAGCGTGTGTAGTATGAAAAAAAAACCCCAACATTAAAAAAATCTAGCAGCAGGAAAGCCATCTCCTGGTTAAAAGTACTGGTGAGGACAGATGCCCACTCCCAGATCTTGCCGTGCTGAGTGACGTCTCTGCCATCTGCACTGCCTGTCAGCGCGCAGACCTGCCACAGAACCACCCGTCACCTCCTCTGCAGGCAGTTACCTTAGCCTTGCTCCAAACACCTTGGGACTGTTGAAAATAATGTGTCTGAAGAAAGCAGATTATTTGAAAAAGATAGGGAGTGCCCCTATGATAGCTTCTGCTGGCAATAAGAGGATGGGAATTGATGGAAGCTTTTGCAAAATGTGCACCTTGTGTCTCCTCAGATCCTCAATCCTGTTTCCCTTACCCTGTATCTTGGTGTAACTTTGCCTTCTCTGGGTATTTTACTGTCCCTTTCTGACTCTGTCTCCACAGTTGTGCTTGGGGCTGTTACGATGCAATTTCATCAGCTGGTCTGTAGATTTCCTCATTTCAGCCTTCCCTTTCTCTTTCTAAATATGGGAGTTTCTGGGTTTCAGTGGGAGAAAAAAAAAAACAACACCCCAAAACTTTGCTGAATGTGGGTTTTTGAGTGATGGCCAGATCTCAGCAGAAGACAAACCTCTTGGTTTGAACTGGACATTGAATTTAATTTTCCAGTATTTCTAAATTATTTACAAGAAAATAACTTTCATAATGAAAGATGAATATGCTTTTTCTTTTAAAGTGAGACTGATTTTGTGAGTAATTTCCCCAAGACATAGTCTGACAGCAAAGAATAACATCACATACATGATTTACCCATCTGTTTCTGGGTCTTAAGAAAGATAATATTTGTTATGAAAAATGAAGGAGTACAATTACATTTATATCTAAATTCTAGCAGAGGTTAGTTAGACTGTAGAAGTCTAATTATACTATGGAAGATAATGGTTAATGTAGATGCTTTAAACTCAGTCTAGTCCTCAACCTTGTAGTGTCTGAATTAAAAATTTTTGTCTGAAAGAAGCAGCATCTCTCTGAGTTCCAGCATCTCTCTTTGCTCTGGAGGCTTCTCAGCAGGTACATGTATTTATATGTGCATCATGGTCAGGAGCATGGGGTGTGTGTAGGTTTTATGGCCTCCTGTCAGTACAGTATATAGTGCGATTTCAGAGTTGTGATTTCATCACGTCTAGGTAAATATAATTAGAATTGTTGAAAAATGGTGCTGCTATATCCTCTGCTGTTTGAGCCATCCCTGTCAAGCTGCTGAGCACCCTGTGAGCTGCTCACCTGCTGGGGCTGACCCACTGCTGTGCACATATGGTCTGTGTTGGACAATATGTGCTTTTCAGATGTCTTTTCCTTCCACGGCCCAATGTGCTTTTGAGTTTTTTCTGTTTCAGAGTTTTGTGTTGCTGCTTGTAGATAATAGAACCATAGAACCATGAAATGCCAGGTTGGAAAGGACCTCAAGGATCACCTTGTCCAACCTTTCTAGGTACTACTATAGTTTATATGAGATAGCTCAGCATCCTGTCAAGCTGAGACTTAAAACTGTCCAATGTGGGGGAATCTACCACTTCCCTTGGGAGACTGTTCCAATGTCTGACTGTCCTCATGGTGAAAAATTTACCTCTTGTGTCCAATCAGAATCTCCCCAGGGGCAATTTGTGCCCATGACCCCTTGTCTTCTCCATGAGACTCCTTGTAAATAGGGGTCTCCATCTTCCTGGTAGTCACCCTTTTAAGTACTGGAACGTTGTAATGAGGTCCCCCCAAAGCCTTCTTTTCTCAAGGCTGAACAAACCAAGTTTTCTCAGCCTTTCCTCATATGGCAGGTTCTTCAGTCTTCTGATCATCCTTGTGGCCCTTCTCTAGACCTTCTCCAGCCTGACCCACTCTTTTTGTAGAGCAGGGACCAAAACTGAACGCAATACTCCAGGTATGGTCTGACAAGTGTTAAGTAGAGCAGGACAATGACTTGCTTATCTCTGCTGGTGATGCCTTTATTGATGCAGCCCAGCATCCCGTTGGCTTTCTTTGCTGCTGCAGTTCACTCATGGTGAGCCTGTATCCACCAAGACCTCCAGGTCCCTTTCCACAGGGCTACTCTCCAGCCAGGTGGATCCCAGTCTGAATTGCACTCCTGGATTCCATGTTCCCAGGTGCAAGACCTTACACTTCTCCCCACTGAACTTCATAAGGTTCCTCCTATCCCACTCCTCCAGCCTATCTAGGTCATCCTGGAGGGTGGCTCTCCCTTCTGGAGTTGCCACTCATCTTGGTGCTGTCAGAAAACTTCAGGGTGCTCTTGATCCCAACATTGCAGGTAACTTCTGAAGATGTTAAAGAGCACTGGGCCCAGTATTGATCCCTGGGGCCCCTGCTGTTTGACTGGTTGCCAGTTTGAGGAAGAACTGTTTACTGTCATGTTCTGGGTATGGTCTGTCAGCCATTTCCCGACCCACTGCACTTGTCAAGGCCATAATGAGTCAGTTTCTCTAGAAGGCTGTGGGGAACCCTATCAAAAGCTTTGGAGAAGTCCAGATACACTGATGAACATCTTGACCAAAAATGCCAGCCACTATCAGTGCTGTCCATGTATTTTGCTCTTGTCTGTGAAGTCTTCACTGTATTTGCATCAGCTCAGGTTTTGGGGGATTTGTGTGGATTATGTATGCCATTTTTTAGTGAAAATCCTTCCTAGTCTTGAAGGGCTTGGCAGCCTTCTTTGAGGGACTCAAAAAGCCTTTCTTTGGTCTCTGCTAAAGGCTTGTTGCCGTGTCAGATCCCATCAGTGGCAAGTGACTCCCCCTATCTCTCATGTTGTCCTGACTCCTGTGATCTGTGTTGATGCACAGAAGGGCACCTGCCCAAATGGCTCGTTGCCTGCAATCCATATTTCATTGGGAGAAGGCATTTTCCACATGTTGGAAGCTGACTAGGAACTCACAGAGGTGCAGGGAGGTTTGACATGCTTGTGTTTCAATGATGGAGAACAGCGTAGACACATTTCATAATAGCTGGAACCTGTCACTGTGTCACTAAGCACTGGGTGCTGAAAATTAAATGAAGTGGGGTAGTAATAACTACAGCGTGCCTTTATCTGGGAGAGAGGGATAGTGTTTCTTAGAAGCTGAAGGTGAAATGAAAGTTTGATGAATTAACCAAGAGCCAGAAGCTACACAACAGCTGTAATGATATACCTGAAGTGAAAGGTGAGTCAACATCTCGACCTGTACTGTGGCAGGATTGGTATGTTCAGAGAAGCATCATTTTCATCCAGAGGAGAAGCCCACCCTTGGGCCTGGTGCTCCCATCCCAGAGGTGACTTGCTGGTGGTGCACACTTGCTGGTGGTGCACACTTGCTGGTGGTGCACACTCACTGCTGGGAGCAGCTGCACCAGTCCTGAAGGAGCCAGCTGTAACACTGAGCACCACTAGCACTTTAGGATCTCTTGCTTATTTTGTTTGACATCTCAAAGGTTCCATTAATAGGGTTTTCCGTTCCTTAAGTACCCAATAGGTGTTGAGAAGCTCCGGGGGAGGCGAGGACTTACCCTAAGCTGCATGAGGAGAGGACTCCTTATAGCATAAGAGCGATCATTTCCTCTTGCAGGCACTTTTGTATTCCTCCAAGGTCAAGTCTCTATTTAAGTATTTTCATTGTGTCACATTGGTGTGAATAAACATGAGTAACTTTACGTTGCTCAACACATTTAAAACCTACAGTTTTGTAAGTGTTCCAACTGGTATCAAGTATTATTTGGCAGATAAATGTAAGCACTTGTCTTGCTGCAGCTCTTATGCTGCTGAGAGTGGTATATGGGCACAGTCATTCTACCCTTAACACTTGCAAGTCTATTTTTGTTTTCCCCAAGGTGCTAGACATGCATACATTAATACAACTGAAAAGCAGGAATAAAACCCACCTGGGTATGTTGGTCAGTGCAACCACATATTCTTACACTGTAACCTTAAATTGAAGTGTTCTTAAGTTGAGGCATCATGCAAAACACTTGTGTCTTTATGTCAACCTAAGGAGCCATCTCGTTTCCTTTTTAGTTTCTTAGCATGTCTAACCTGTCACTTTGGCTGTCCTTTGTCACTTAACACCAATTTGGTGCAGTTCATTCCAGCAGCTGTGTGGCAGTGCACATGCAGCAAGAGAGGTTGCTTTGAAGTAGAACAAGACATGCTTTATTGATTTATACCTTGAGGGGGTTGACCTGAGGTCAGAGCCAAGATATGTCTGCTTCTTCTACTGATTTTACCAAAAGCTGCCATCAACTATTCCACTTTCATCCCAAATGTGATTTATTTGTGCTTTATGATCTATTTTCAGAAGTCATTGCTTACTTTATGTACTTACCTGTATACATCTTGTTAAATAAAACTTAATTCAAAGACTATTTTCTGATTGAAACTGGCAGGAATTAGTTTTAAATAGAGAAGTAATTTATAGGAATGCAGATATAAGCTAGCAGTTTCTATTTCATTGCAATTCAAATTTTTTTCTGTCTTGTGTTTTTTTACAGGACTAGCTGGGACTGCTGCAGACCTAGAAAAAAGAAAGCTTATATTTGGAAAAAATTTTATACCTCCAAAGAAGCCAAAAACATTCATACAGCTAGTCTGGGAAGCGTTGCAGGACGTGACTCTTATAATCTTGGAAATTGCAGCCATCATATCTTTGGGGCTTTCATTTTATCAGCCACCTGGAGAAGGGAATGAAGGTAAAAACTTTTTATAGAAGTAATTTGTACAGTTTAAGTAACACCAGTCCTATATCTTAAATTTATTCCACCCCCACCCTCCAGAAGGTCACTAACTGGAAATTTGCATGTGGTTTGTTCCTGTCACCATTACATCTGGTACTGACATATTTTTTTGTATGCCTGACATTTCTTTATGCAAATAGCTGAGCCTCGTGACATGTACTAAATGAGTTAAAGAAAAATCAGAATATTCTTATAAAACTGCTGAATTTGTGTTTTGTTTTCACCTTATAGCTTGTATTTGCTGTTCGTTTATTAATCTTTGGTATTTGTTTACTGCATATAGAGGAGAAATATGTAATTACTTACATAACTGATGTCTCCTATCTATATGAACGTGGACAAATCTTCAGCTAGTTCATACCAGCTGGAGACCTGAACTCATTTTAGTATTTTTAGTGATCTAGTTAAGACTAGAGAGCCTGGCTAAGTCATGTTACCTCCAAACAATACACTGCAGAATCCTTCTGTGATAGCTGTAGAAAGTTTTAACATGCTGCCTTCTCCTCTCCTTTTTCTCCCCCTTTGGAAAGTACTCTTGAATTCACATGCTTAAAATATTTGTTCTTCTGCATAAATGCAAGATTTCCATTTCTGGCAACTGATCCAGATTTTTTTTTTCTCTCTTCCCTGCTCTCTCATAGACTTATAAAGCTGGATAAAACATGCTGTGTGAAATGACGTGAATAGCTTGGCAAATGCATGAAGAATGTCTTCCTCTAAATATAGCCTTGAAATGCTTTTTACATTCACTTCAGTTTCCTTTGGCTACTTTCCTTGAAGACCCTTCCTTCTTCCTTTTCCATTCACAAGCAGAACAAGCATGTAGCTATGCAGAGCTCTTGTACTGTATTTATGATTCTTTAATCCTTTCTATAAAATCAGGAGTATTTTTGTTGCTTTCTCATTGAATTTTGAACACATGACTACTAAGTCAGCAGGAGTCTGATTTAGGCATGAAGAGATTATCTTTTTTTTTTTTTAACTGAAGAAAATGTAATTTATTGTTATTACCTCATATAGCTGGACATCACAGAAAACCTTGAGGACGTTTAAACCATGAGCAGACACTTGACAAAATCAGAATTTAGTTTCCTGAACTTCTGTCTTAAGCATAAATGTACAGACTAACCTCTCATTTTTTAATTGATTTAGTAGGAGAGGAATTTTGAGAATAGGATTTTGACAGGGTTGGTTTATTCACAGGAAGAGAGGAGATATTTCATCACATGGTGGGTTAAAAAAAAATATTATTATTATTATTATTATTATCATCATCATCATTTCTTCCCCCATGGGATGGTATGACACATCTGAGATTCTCAGACAGTCTAGCTCAGCAGCACAGCCTGGGAAAAAGTGTGTGTGTTTTCCCACAGCACAGTATTTGTTTTTAGAATTATTTTCCTGGAAGGTTTTGCCAGGTTTTACACAAGGAGAATAAATCAAGTTAGTGAGTATCTTTTAACCCAACTTCTTGAACACATTGTAATGGTCCTTTCAATTTTAATTTTTTTTTAAGTCTTTCAGTGATCAATTGTATAAATGTGGGAGATTGTCTTTTGTTTTAAAAGTAGTATTTTGTAAACTACTGCCAAGAATACTTGTAGTTTACTGGTAGATGTCGGTTTTAAAGAATCCTAAACATTGAAAACCTGACCTATTAAGCTTGATTTTGCCTTTGGTGAAGTGGACTGTAGACATACTTGGACTTGATGGTTTTCATAACCTACAGTAATCAGTTTAGAAATAAAATTAAATGTAGACTAACATTGAGTAAAAGTCAAAGGAACTTTTTATGAAGAAGCAAACTGTGTTGTTTGGTCTACACTTAAGCTAATTTGTTGAACAATTTCATCTATTTATTGAATTGAACATGGACCTGGATTCAGATGAAACATGGGCCTGTCTGGGGAGGTTGTAGTTCTTGGAAAGGGCAGCAGCTCCTATTGTCTCGTGAAATGTCTGTGTTCCTGTCTGAATCTCATATTGATTATACATTGCTTTAGATGGGCCCATCTGTGCTGTTGTCACAGAGAATCTGATCTGTAACATCCTCCCAGCAGACTGCAGTATGTCTGAGCTCATTTTCTTGAGGTGAGAAAGGAATTCTGCCTGTGGGATGCCATAGGGAATCGCTACCCAGTGACTGGGATAAGTGACCAGTGCTCCTTTGGGAAGTGTGAAAACCTGTATTTTCCTTTTCTGACTCTTCCTACATTTTTTTGCAAGTTTTCTGTTTTTTTCTTGAAAATTAATATATTTTCTTCTGAAAATAAACCCCAACGTTGGGAAGACACGCTGTCATTTCTTGCAAACTAACTGCTTGAACTTGCCCAGCTCCTCCAGAGAGTACTTTAAAAGTGTCTCAGACAGTTTCTGGATGAAGTTAGTAGTTGTGCTGTCCAGCCCATGGATGGTGCCTTCATGGAGAGGCAGTGGCTTCTCCCCTACGTTTCTCCATGGAAGCAGCATGGAGAGGCTGTGGTGCCACTGAGCCTTGGTTCATGGTCTGACTAACTCATAGTGAACTTTGCTGGAAAGATGTTCTCTTTCTAGATGATGCATTCTTAACTTACCCCCCCTGCCTCCCCAAGACCTGTTGACATTTCATTTTGTTGGCTGATGACAATGTGAAATATAAAGCAGGTTTGTCTACAGCTCATTTAAAAAAAAAAAAATCTCCTCTGTGTAACAGGACTCTACTACTTGGTACATGGTTGTTTTATCATATGTAAGACAGACTCCTTTTTTGAATTCTATTTTTTTCTTTTTTTCTTCAAAATGAAATGCATTTTCATTTTGAAAATTAATCAACAAGACTGTTCTTCCCATGCTGATTTGCCATATCATCACTACTAATTATCTGAACCCATCAACTTGCTACAATCTACATGGACCTTTCAGAGTAAAAAGTATTGTAAACATAAATTCAATACTGTTACAATTTAGAAGACAAGAGTTTTGCCTTTTTAAAAAATATTTCTATGAGCAGACAGGTGTGAGATGCTGTTGGTAAGTGGAATGGCAAGGGAGGATGTTCAAGAACAGGCAGTTTCTGTGTAGTGACACTGAGTTTTTCTTACCACAGTGGATTTTGTACTGCAAACTGGCCTCAGGTTGCACGGGGCAATCGTGCAGATTCTTTGGTCACCACTAAAAGCACCTGTGATCATCTGTATTTAAGACTAGGACAGGATGGGGAACAGAGCATGAGCCTTTTTGTTGGAGACAGAACCACATGAGATGGATGTTTCCACAGAAATAACTTTGTCAGTGGCAGAAGCATTGGTGTTAGCAAAATGCTTTTTCCTCCTTTGCTCTGAAAGACCCTGGTCTTATCTTGAGGAGCAACTTGAATTGAGTCTGGCCAGGGACTTGCAGCTGAGGCCATGAAAGATTATATGTCTTGGGGAATATCAAAGAAAGGTTTGGACAATGAGAGCTAAATATCTTTTATTTCTTATTGTTGTCAAATACACAAAGAGACTTGAATAAGAGAGGAGAGTGGAGCAGTGCTGGACCAGGCTCTTGCCTCAGTGATGGGGATGGTGTAAGAGCAGAGGGAAACATTGGCTTTCTCTTCTACTGGATATTTTGATGTTCAGCATTAAAAAAACAGAAAAAACCTCAAAAAAAGTAACTTCACTTTACTGAATGTTTGAAGTTGGCCAGTTTTCATTCAGCATGTTTGATTGACACCACAGTGTCTTGCAGTATTTCATCTTCTTATTGCTTAGGACTAGGTCAAAAAGCTGTTGCCATCTAAAAGTGACAGTCTTTCTTTGTAGGAATAAAGGATAATAACATGAAAATAAGAGACTTTTAAGACAGTGTCAGGAAAACACCATCTGGCATATTTTTTTTTAATCATTCATATGTATACACTGCTTTAATATCTAGTATATTTGTGTCTGCCTTTCACATATACTGAACTTTTATCTATCAATTATCTTATTAGTTAATATAATAAGTTGAAGTCACTTTATTTTTTAGAATTTGTATAACTCTTTGTGGATGCTTGAAGCCTACTTTAATTTTTGAAGCTAAATCAGAATTAGCATTTAACTCCTTTCTCCAGTTTCAGTGCAAAATATTTTTCTCCAGAGGTTTTTGAAGGAGGAATGCATGATAAAACCCACACATCCAAAAAAATATGAGTGCATTAATTGCTTCAGGAATCTTCCCTAAGGGTATAGTCTAATGTATGTGTATGTTAGTATGTTTTGCTGTGTTAGGCAGTTACAGGCTCAAAAGTTCTTTTTCTGTGTGTATTTCTAGATTGGCTGTTATTTCTCATTTTAAGCTATGAATATTGCTACATTGCCAAGTTTAAGTCCTTTGTAGCATAACTGCATTTCTAAACATCTATAGCACAGTTTGGTATTATCTTGTTAAAATAAGTAGATGATTATCTACTGAGTTTTGTTCAGTTTAGCTGTTGGAAACAGTTTACATTTCTGTGGTTTTGAAGTATCAGTAGTGACATTCCTCAACTAATCTGAACTGGAAGAGGCAGTAATCTGTTTTGATAGTACATTAAGTTTTTGTTCTACTATAGTTCTTCATTTAAGATACGGGGTGAATCTTGGAAAATATTACTTCATTTTCTGCTGCAATCATAAAATCGAATCTACAGGAATTACTAGATAATAATGTCGTTTTATTGCTCTTCCAGAAGCCACTTCAGTTCCTGTATTTTCATATCTCTTAGCAAGAGTGAAAGTTTCAAGATTTTTATTCTCACAAGCTATGCTGGAGTTGTTTTTGTGATGTGCTTTGCATTCCTTTTTACCATCTGACAGACCATTAGGAGCATTTGAGAACTTCAGCATAAATTATTGTCAGCCCTGTGGCAATTACTGCTCTCGTTACTGATCCACTCAGAATCATTTTTCCACTCTCAAAAAAAGTGCAAAACTGCTGCTGCATTTCAGCAAATACATTTTGAGAGAAAA